ATATATATTTTTTTTTTCTTATAAATTTTTCTAATAAAATGTATTGAAAAATATTGTATTTAAAACTAAAGATATTAATAAATGTATGTAATTTTTTTCATATGAATATAATGATAATTTGATTTTTGGTGAATTTTTAAAATAATATCACCTGACTGACCTATATTGTCTTCGGACAGTTTACAAAATTAATGTAAACAAGATGGCGGTGGTAAAGGGTTAAATTTTGACCAGACATTTTCCGATCACCCTGTATTAATGTATTTTATTGTAATTTAATATTAAAAAAATTTTAAAAATTAATTTATTGAGATGAATCTATGAATTTATTGAGATGTAACAATATTAAGAATAATTTAAAAATTAAATTAGAAACAGATTAAGTTTAAATCTACTAAAATGACATAATTTTGTATAATTACACTGTTCTATCATATTCCAATAATTTATTTTTGTGTTCTATAGCCTTTTCAAGTCCTGAATAATCTTGAATATTTTGTGCTTGCTGCAAGTTCCCATTTCCTTTTCTTATTAATTGAGTATATAATTTCTCACTTTGTTTTGAACCTTTAATAATAATTTCTTGCTCTTCTTTACTGCATACCTATGAAGAAGAATTATATTAATTAGAGTCTAATAATCAAGTCAAATAAAATTACAATTAACATAGTAAAAATTTAAGTATTTTGGTTATAATATAGTTTTTTTAGAACCAGATACTCACACAAAAAGTTATCTATACTAATATTATAAAGAGGTAATGTTTGTATGTATGTAAGTTTGTATGCAGCAGGTAATCTCCGAAACTACTCATCTGATTTCAAAAATTCTTTCAACAATATTTAGAACGGAACTTCAGGGTGGACATAGGCTGTATATTATTCCGTTAAACATTCATATAAATTAAATTAAAAGATATAATCTAGGTTAAAGCTTTTATGTCCAACAGATGACGCTATGAGTACGACGCCCTAAGTTTGCTTTTCTGTGAGGCATTATGCTTTTCAGTGAAAATGAACTAAAGCAGATCATCATCTATCTATATAAATAAAAATGTAATGTTCATTTGTTCCTACCGATTCCTTTGAAATTTTGACACAATGCTGCATTCGAATACACACATGTTTTTATATAATATACATGTCGAAATTCAACCCCACTGAAGGGAGATGGTTAGGTTTAAGGCTTACCGTGAAGAACTTGGCTTCTATGATACTATTTTAGATGCAGGTTTTTGCGTTTTTGATTGCGTTTTAATAGGGTATGTCAAGAGAATGTACACTAAGAAGAAATTTTTTGAAAAATTCCCCCCACGAGGGAAGTGTTATAAATTTATTAATAAAAATAGTGTTAAAAATAGATACATTTTGAGCCACAACAACGTGTGGTGGGAGTCTGCTAGTATATAAATATTAACAGTAATTCTTAATAAATATTTATTTATTAAGAATTACTGTTATCATTTAATAATACTAATAATTTTAATTAGTAATTCTAACTCAAATTAATAAATATAAATTATTAATCAAAAATGGGCTAAGTTAAGGGCGAGATTTCTTACAAAAGATAAAAATTTCATAAACAAATTTATAGTTACTCTTTTTGGTGACTTTACTTATTGAAAACATATACAAACAGTATTTAGTAAAAAATTAAATTTAAAGAACTTAATATCAATTAATATCAAGCAGTCCAGAAAAGTTTCTTTTAAAAAACTTTGTTCTTTTGTTATGTTTTATTGATCTGAAGATGGGATATACAAATCCTGAAAAATGTTTAATTTAATAAAAACTTTTCTGGAAATTTTTAATAAAGTTCTTTAAACTTGATTTATTAAATAAAGTCATTTAATTTGGACTTGTATTTGTAGTTTTCATACAATTTTTTAAATAAAATATTGATGACTACTTTTGAATTTATACAAATTTCAATCCCAGATAGAACTATATAAATAACAGCATCAATGCATTCAAAGCTATCAAAAGCAAAATTTTATGTATGTATAATTTTGCTTTTACTATAATAAAATAAGCCATATTATAATAAATATCTTCAAATATAAAATTCATAATTAAAATTTAAATGAAAGTTACTCAAAACCAAAAATTACGTAATGCATATCCTCAATCAATCCTTAATTGTACTAAGGAATAATACACAGCATGAGTACCAATTATTTTACTAATTACATTATAATGTACAAAGCAGTGACAAAAACAGAACAGCTTTCTATGCAACTTTCTTTTCTTTTTGTTCATTTTTGAAAATTAAACAACAAAAGTTATAGCCAAATCCAAGTTGTTGTTGCCATTTGGGGAAAAAACTACTGGTAGCTTATGCTTACATATTTAACAAACAACACTAGTTGATTTAAAGACTACTATTTTATGAAGTTTCTGTAAACACTTTCCCATTCCCTTATAATGTACCTTAATGATTACCTGCACAGTTATCCACTCATATCTGCATTTTGTATTGATGTAATTTATTGACTGTGCCTTTCATTAATTATCATTTTTTATTTGAACATTTTGAGCTTTAAATTTAAGGCTGTCATTTTCCTAAAATCAGAAGATATCTTCTTACTGAATTATAACAAAATATTTTTATATGAAAATTAACTAAAAATATTAAATCTATTAATTAACCTTTTGGATTATTGTATTTTATGGAATATATGACACATAGGCATATAAGAGTCACACATATCCCCATTTCTGCACAGAATATTTAGAAAAAAAGTAAATTAGAATGCACACTTATTTATCAGAGAAAAAGTGGAGCTCAAAGGAATTCATTTACAATTAAAATATTCAACATGAAGGCATGCAGAAGTTGATTAGCTACAGCCAAAAAATATATAAAAAGCAAGCTATCAGTATTTTGTATTGAACATAAAGGAGATTCCCTTTACAATTAAAATATCATGTGAATACTGTACATGCAAAAGTTGCTTAGATATAGCAAAAAACACTTTACAATTAAAATACCTAGTAACCATAACTACTGATACATGCAATTTGGAGAATTCTTTAGACTATAGATGATCCCAACTTCACATTAAAACATGGTGATATTTTAAGCCTTGTTTTTGGACAAAAGTTGCATTTCATACCGTACTTTCGTGAATTGTCCAGCATGTCAGTCTATCTAGGAAAGATCAGGAAATCAAATATTTCCATATGGTAAAAACTGGCATGCCAATTTATCCCATCATGCCAGTTTAAGTGAGGTTATACATCCCTCTTTAGAGGGTGCATTAAAAGCACGAAACAGTTATGTCAGGTAAAAACAAATGCGCTTTTATTCTAAAACTGTCAGATAAAACTGTTTTTGATGTCAGCATTACATCAAAAACTACAATTATATGTTTAATTTCTTCATTTTTTCTTGTTTCTAGCAATGTAAAATATTCGTGGAATTCCAAAAGTGCTTTTTTGTGTATTTTATTGTTATTTGATTAAAAAATGCAAAAATAAACATATTAAATTTAAAAAACTCAGGATAAATTATCTCAACTTACATCAGCTTTGTGTGAAATTTGAGGAAGGTGTTATTTTTAAGGTTGAAGTGGATGGTCAGTGTAGCCCACACTGACTGACTTACTTATCTACCTGCCTACCACTACTACTAATGTCAATAAGTCATTAATTGTTTTATTGTTTTGTAAACAAAAATTCTCTTCCAGTCAGTCAAATTACAATGATATATTATTGTATTTGGAAGGTGGTGTTTTTTAATATTTGTTTAACAACTAGTTTTGTTAGATCTGATTAATTTTATATTTTAGCTAAACACCAACCAAATGCCGAAATTCTATCGAGCTAGTTTACAGCTAATTACTAAATGAATTACGTAACCAATTTGGCACTAGAGGTAAGCGTTAGGCGCCATCTCTTATTAACATTAATAATTATAAATAAATGAATTAATTTAAATAATTTAGAACCACTGGGAGAAAAAAATCGGCCTGGAGCGGAATTCAAACCCAAAACTCCTGCTTACCGTGCAGATGCATTGCCAGTTACTCTATCCAGACCTCCAGTCCGATCTCCTCTTCCAGCGTATAGAAGCTAACATTATAACCATCAACGGTTATTACAATGCCGGCACATCCAGTGCCCACGTCCTACAAGGCACTCAACCGGCCATCGCAAGCCCCGGCAAGGCGTAATATATACAAACATTGCTAAACCCGATATATAATATAGCTAAACACCAACCAAATGCCGAAATTCTATCAGGCTAGTTTAAGGCTAATTACTAAATGAATGGACAGAGAAATTTATGACAGTAAATTTAAATACAGTAGAGCATCGTTTATCCGAAAGCATTCCAGTCGGCAAATTTAAATTTTCACTAGCACTGCAACCTTTGGCTATATCTTGGGCTACTCCAATATTTTTTTTGTTGGTGTGTGTGTTTTAGCTGGCAGCACTGGAACTTTTGTGTGGTGTTTTTCTGAGGAGTGCTGAATCGAACGTTTTTGATACTAGATCATCTTCTAAAGTATATATTTTTTGGTTTTTATATTTTTCAATATATTTATTTTGTTTGTAAGAAATAAAGAAATAATTTTTAATGATACAATAGCCACGATTATTATTTTAAAAAGTATACATTAGGCTTAACATCGATGAAAATTCAATGCTAAGCGACACGCAACAGAGAAAAATTTCAACATGGGATAGGTTAATATATTTTTTCGTACATAATCAGTTATCCAAAAAATAAGTTATCTGAACAACCCCAGTCCTCAATTGATTCGGATAAACGACGCTCTACTGTAAATATAACTTCTCAAGGAAACCTTAAATAATATTAAAAGCTTTTTCACTCTAATATGTTGTGAGAGCCCAGACTTGACAAAAAAAACTTTTTTTGAAAGAACAAAAATCATAGAGGATATGATTATAACTTTTCCCACATACTTGCTTCCTTGTTTAAGGTAACACATCTTCCAAATGTGCCACTTGGAACTTCAACCAAAATTAATCTATTGGCCATGACCTATTACCAAAAAGGACAATAGAAAAAATGAGAACTACCCCAACAAAAGGGAGGGATTGATGACGATCATGGTCCGTCATCATCGAAAGTTTACCCTCCCTGGAGTTGCACTAGCGCTTGGATACCTTACCGACACCAAAGATTCCTACCTAAGTGACTTTCCTCCCTCTGACAACCCATTGCCTGAATAGTCTGAATATCAGGATATCAAGACCTTGCCAAATATACTAAGATTTTCCAGAGCCATCCATCAAAACTTCTGAATCATCAATTCTTCGTGTTGTCAATTCAAGTCCTCAACACTATCAGCAACAAAGCACATCCTCATATCCTCTACAAGGTATTTATCCACCTGTGAATTTATGTAAACTCTCTCTCTCTCAAGACTGGGACTCATGAGGATAGTTAATATAATACACTAAGGCTTTAATACAATATACTAGCCTTATAAAATGTATAACGGGATAGCCCTAACGTTCAACTGTAAAGCAGCCTATGTTTAGCCTATTTGTAAATAGCTCATAGTTAATAAATGGATATTTGTTATTGTCAAAATTGTGTTTAGTGCACTTCCTTTAAAACGCACTGTCTCTCGTGTCGCCTCCATCCTGGATCCAAGTGACTACAGATGTGACCACTTGTGCAAAAAGGTTTCTGTGTCTGTCCTTAAGAACTAGTCATTACAAACGCAGTGTCAATCCTTCAGTCCCATGGTGCAAAGCATAGGGGGCACCATGCTTTGGCACCATGTATGTGTCAAGTCTCCGTGTATGTTAATTTAAAGACAATGTAATTGTCTTTAAATTCACATAGTTCTTTGAACTTAACTGCCAAACATTTATATTATGATAAATAAATGAATAAAGAAAGAAATAATAATAATTAATCTATAAATTATACTATAATTTTTAAAGAATCATAAATAAATATATTTTCAATAATAAGTTAACAACAGGAAAAATATTTACGAGATTATTGCAAGTAAAGCATGGACCTGATCCTTCTTGTTCACAAACAATGCGACCACATCTCATACAATTATTAATAAGTTTATGTTTGCTGGCTTGACAAATACAAGGATGTCTTCCTGGAAGAGTAACTACATCTTTTCCTTCAGTACCATATATAGATGAAAACTTCTGTTTCTTTTTAGAGCTTGATGTCTTTAATTCTTTATTTGGAGTAATTTCCAATTGTTTAGGTTCTTTTATTTGCTTGAAAAATTTAAACATTAATTAAACCAATTGAAATAATATTAAAATTATCATTAAGTATAAAATAAAATTATTATGTAATATATTAATAATACAGGTGTCTGAAAAGTTACTATGCAACAGAAAAGATTTAAGTAAAGTTTTAATTAAAGTGAAGTTTTACATCTGATATTGCAGTTATTCCTAAAGCAAACACCAGAAGGATCTCTAAGAAGTCCCAAAATTTGGCATGAGGTCCAAGGACCTAGCAAACCAGATTCTACAAGAGATTATGTGATCTGCAAAGATGTGTTCCTAAAACCATAGTCCAAAAATAAGAATGTCTGTGAGCAAACAGTAACACCATCTACTGCAAAGTGAAAACATGGGACATGGGTCTCATATGCAATGTTGTAAGTATAACTTTAATCTTATTACAAACTTCTCACTGCACAGTAAGTTTTTGGATACACTGTACATCAATGTAACCATGTTAAATTAATAAATGAACAATGTTAAAAATAAAACTTAAGAAATTTCAACAATCAACCATCATATTTTTGTCAACAATTTAAAAAGTTATAAATAATTTTATAATTTATAAAATTATCAATCTTTTTATTAACTTTCTCATTTTAATATATCATCATTTAATAAATTCTTGATCTTACCTGTGACTCTAATTGACCAGAATCTTTTCCCTTTCTTTTAGATAGTTTATTCTTCTTAAATTGCTCTGAAACTATTTCTGGTTTCTTATACATTACAAGAGTCTCATTACCTAAACATTCAAAAATATAAAGTCAATTTCAAACTTCTAAACATTTTGTATGTTTATATATTTACATGAAATAACAATATGCAGATATTTGTTTGCTAGGAATATTTGCTATTCTCTCAACATCATAGAATGTTTTTATACATCCTGATATTTTTGTCAAAAAACTTATAAACACTCTATATAAACGATTAATTTAATAATGATCCTCCATGCACTAGCAGAAATCTTGAATAATTCACACTGTCAGAATTAAAAATGCAATTGTAATTTCTTTGCATTTTTATTACTTATTATATTAAAGCAAAAAAATTGCTGAATTAAATTAAAGCTATATTACTCATGGACCAACAGGGGATGACTCGGTGTCCACAACCTATAATCATCCACTATGGCACTCAGTCAGTTATTGCCTTATCCTGGCATGGAGTATATATGTTACTGTGAAAGACCGAAATTAGAGAATGTCGATATTCTCCAGTGAATGTCGACACATACAAAATACGTCAGTGAAAGACCAAATATTTGGCTATATTATTATACATTCGAACAATCGTCAGTGTATGTCGACAAGCACATATAAGCTTTGGTGGAGGTCAAAACAACACCCGAGAAGCCGATATCGACAGAGAGGCGACAGTCTGTCACCAAATTCTTTGCCGTTTCCTTTTGCTCAAATTGGTGATTCTGTATGAATACAAGTCCCTGATGTCAACTGTGGCAGTTGAAATGTGTTGGCAGTTGTTGTTGGAATAGAAGATTCCGACTTTTATAAATTAGCAAACAAAAATGGTACCTCAAGCACCTTTATATCCGCAACCAGTTCGAAATTTGTAAAGAAAAGTTACTTTCCATAGATGAGATTTCTTCTCGAGAAATATCGCTGAGAGAAGCAGCTGCAGTTAATTCGAAAAGAGGAGGACAAGGCTATACACGCTTCATTGCAAAAAGAAGTGTTCCACAAATAAATACAGTTGTAAAAGCAAGGGGCTCTTGTGCAATTCAAAGTGCCATAACAGTTTAAGTTGTTGCAATAAATAGATTATATACCGTTAATCACATAATATATATGTGTATGTATAATTTTGTGTATTATTTTTCTTTTCTGATTAAGAATGTACTGTTTGTTTTAGGTTCAACAGCTTATTTACATGTGCTGTTACTTAAGCTTTCTCCTAATTTGACATATTAAAAAGTTGCATTTTTGTCTTAAATGTAATAAAAATATTTTTATTCAACATTCACCATCAGTGCATGCTCAATGTCAACATTTGCTGGTGTAAGTGAGTAATAATGATATTTAGCAAATATTTCATACATACATGAAACAACTGTGTGAATGCTGACATTCACCGGAGAATCTCGACATTCGCCAGATATCGGTCATTCACAGTAACATATACATATGAATATATAAACATCTCTAAGCTTATGTGAATAGCTAGTATGGTTATACCTAAATTAAATATATCGAGAAGCAAGTGATTGGATGGAGGTCTGGGTAGTGTAACGCATCTGCGTGGTAGCAAGCAGTTGCAGGTTAAGTCCTATTCTGGTCAATTCATTTCTTCCAGAATTTTCTAAATTATTTAATAAATATTAATTTAATTATAATTATTAAATTTAATAAGAGATGGTGCCTAATGCCTACTTCTATTCCCAAATTACCAGTGTTTAATTATTAATAGTAGCAATAATGTAGCCAATTTAATCAAGCAATTATTTGGCTTTAATATAACTATCGAGCTTAGAAATGTTTATATATGATTACTTATTGTAATGACATAATACAGAGGAATCACAAATGCATGATAAATGCCATAAAAAAAAATAAAATTTGAAATTTTACACTATTGAATTGTGAGATGATGATGACAAGATGATCTAAAATAAAACAATCATCCCTATACATTAATTTTTAATAAAATCAATAAAGCTATATCTATATATAAATTTTTCTTGTACTATCCTTAAGTATTCTTGATCAATTCATTTAAAAAATTGTTCAGATTTAAAAATTTTTATATAAAACTCTCCATCATCACATCCTCTCACATAATCATTGATTTCATTGTTATTGAAAAATTGGAATATTTAATCCAATTAAAAATCCAGTATGTGACAAGTCCATTGAAAAAACAAACAAACAAAACTTGATTAATTTTTTTTTTAAAGTATGTGACTTAATAACGAGGTTGAGGCCGAAGTTTTAAACACGAAAACATATATGTTGGATGTTTAGCGCCACTTTCCTGTGAGCCTAGAAGTTTGACAATGGTCTTTGGAATGTCAAGCATGATGCCACTGACTATCCAAACACCATTGTCAAACTTCGAGGCTTACAGGAAAGCAGCGTTGAATGTCCAATGTACACATTTTTGCATTTAAAACTTTGGCCTCAACCTTGCTATTTTCACAGTTTTACTTTTCCACTTTGTTTTATTTTTATTTTTACTGTTTTACAGCTGAATTTCTATATGTAATTCTTAACAAATAAGAATTACATGTAGAAATTCAGATGTACAGTGTTAACTTGTGCCATGCCATAATTTTGTGAAATTATATTCACTCTGAAAGCAATTCAAAAGTAATTTCACTTGTATGTTTTTTATATTCAGTGTTTAAGTTCACTTAAATGATATTTTTCTGTTCTCTTGAAAAATGTAAAAACATGATTCGACTATGTTTAATTATTTAAAGTTTTTACATAGTTTAACTGCAGTCAGTTATTGCCTTATCCTGGCATGGAGTATATATGTTACTGTGAAAGACCGAAATTAGAGAATGTCGATATTCTCCAGTGAATGTCGACACATACAAAATACGTCAGTGAAAGACCAAATATTTGGTNAGAATTCTCCATAGATATTAAGTATCTGTTATAGAATAATTTTTATTAGAAAAATTTTATAACAACTCATTAATTACTATAAAATTAATAAAAAAATTAAAGGAAAACAATAAATATTACAAAACAGATATTTTAAGGAAGTTCCTCAAGTGTAAATTCAATTGAAACTGTTTTCCTCAGTCCAGGAAAAACAGTTTAAATTGAACTCAACATGATTTTTCATTAATAGAAATTTTGAAAAATCAAAGATGTAAACACAGGAATTTCCTTAATACACTCCTGTTTATAATTATAAGGACACAACTAATTTTGTGTTATCTCTAATTACAGCTAAAATGTCCTTAAAGGAATGAAATGTGAGGGTTCTTCAGAAGTAAAATTTCACTTTAATATCACAATATTTACAGTTTTAAACAAAATATTAAAAAAAAATAACAAAAATCAACTTTAAGACATGTCCATAAATACATGTATAAGGATAACATATACAATATGATTTTTCTCAGTTGGATACAATATTTGCCTATTCTTTCTAACTAATTTGCATACATAGAAGATAAAGTCATGACTAACTAGAACAGTTTAATGCATGCAAAATGCCTTTTAGCAAACAGTTGGCAGAAAATGAGGTTTGGAGCATTTGGAGAATTCATGGAGCAGGAAAATCAATTCACACTATTGCTTAAAAAATCAACAGCAGTTAAAAATGCATTAAGAAGAAGAATGGAAGAACTATCACAATATGATCAAGAAGGAGAAGAAATAAAATGGTAATGACTTATATGGATTATTTAGATTAGCAAACAATAACAAGATGTCTGCTAACAAAATTTCTGCTGAAATACCAATACGTTTCTTGTCAGACTATTTCCCATGTTCTCCATCAATCTGCACATGAAAAATATGCAAAATTGAAAAGTAAGTCTGTCCTAATTCCATTGTGTAAAAAACAATGCAGAGCTACTATTCTCAAATAGATGGAGGACAATGTACTGTACAATGGAAAATATATTGTTCACTGATGAAAAGCATTTCAATTTAGATGGCCCTGATGGATGCATTACTACTGGAATGATTTAAAGAAAGAAGCAAACATTCAAATAAGCAGACAACATGAAGGATCAATCATGGCATGGGGTGCAGTGTAATCAAATGGAAAAACTTATTTAATAGTTATTCCTACAACAATAAATTCACAAAATATATAAAAGAGATGTGCAGTTATATGTTTACAGATAATTTTCTAGGTGGCTATAACTTCGTTTTTCAGCAGGATAATGTAGCCTGCCACACATCTCGAATGAATAAAAAAAAATGGATGGCAGAAAGAAACATTCAACTGCTGAATTGACCGACAAGATCACCAAACCTTAACATCATAAAAAAAATCTGGGAAAAAATAATTCAGGCAGTATATTACAAAGGCAAGCACATTTCTGATGATATATGCAGTGTATGATATTTAGGACAGTATTAAATCATAGTACCTTTCAAAACTAATTCAGAGCATATCAAAATGCTTAACCAAAAGAAGGTAGAACTAAAAGCTATTGATGTAAGAGAATAGATACTAAACTAACCTTTTCTCATGTTTCCAGCAATTTCAATATATATGTAAAGCAAACATTTATGGCCTTGTTCAGGATTCGGTATCAGGCTTTTTATTGAAGATTTTATAGCTGAACTTTCAATTTAGAACACTTTTTGAAGTAAAAACATTCTGGAACAAGCTCTATTTAAATTTTTTTCAAGCAGTGCATAAAAAAATATGGCCACGTTTTGTTAATTTTTGTCTTATTTGGTCATGTAAGCTCTATTTAAATTAACTAAATTGTTCATTTATTATGTATGAGCCATAATTTATAATTTTCTGTGATAATTTAATGTGAGGTGTTAAATTTGTTAAGTGTTTGGATGTTAATATTGCTTAATGATGTAATTGAAAAAATGGACAGTTTAGTTAACTTAAATAGAGGCTGGGTAAGAACACATATTGGAAGAGATTTGCAAATACATTAGAAGATTTGTGTGTCCAGCAGAGGTGGTAATAATAATTTAACAAATTCCAACTCATTAAATCCAACTTGTTTTATGTATTCTTGTTATATCCTAAAGAATATTGCCTATGTACTGTACATGCAAGGAAAAAAAAAGA